ACGTGCAGTAAAAAAAAAAAAAATTTTTTTAAGGGAGAAGGAAGGGAGGGGGTGGAGTAATTTTTATTATGGAAATTATTATTATTATTATTACTAATTTGTTACAGGTGAAAATTTTTTTCACTCATTCATTCATTCATTTTTTTGCAGTAATAATAATAATAATAATAAATTTGAAAAAGAAATTAATTTAAATTTTTTTCTTATTTTGCGTCGCATATAAATTTGCTTGTCTGCTTCCACTTTTTTTTCTTATGTATTTTTCTACGACCACTACTTTTCTTTATTTTTCCCCTTTCCCTTTCTCCATTCTCCTTCTCCCCACCGCTTCCCCCTCGGTCTAATTTATTTCTGATTTATTTATTCTTTTTTTTATTTTTTTTTTAACTTTATCTCGATGTAATTTATTATTAAAATGACTTTCTAGAAGTTTCGGTCTCCAGAATTTTTTTTTTCTGGAAAAATCAATTTTTACTCTATACACTCTGGAAAAAAAAACATCCGACTCATTTTCATCGTGTGGGGAAAAAGAAAAATGGAAAATGGAAAAAAAGACATCGGAAAACTTTTTTTTTTCTCTTCACGACAAGAAGAAGAAGAAAAAGAAGGAAAACGTGATTCGAGGGAGAAAAAAAAAGTCAATAAAGAAAAAAAAGGCAGCATCCGGAACACAAACGAACAAACAAAAATAAATAAAAAATCAACAAACAAACAAACGAACAAACAAAAATACTCGTTTCTTGTGAACCAACTGTTGTACAGAACAAAAAAATTATTTCGTGAAACATGAACGATATAAAACAATAACATTTTATTATTATTATTATTATTATTATTAGACGAACGAAACGGATCGAGCTCGTTATAATAATAATAATAATCATCATCATTATTATTATCATCATTATTATTTTTTTAAAATAATAATAATAATAAAAATTGTTTGATTTTTCTTTGGTTGGTTTTTTTTTATTTATTCTTCTCGTTCCTGTCTGTTGTTGTTGTTGCTGCTGCTGTCGTTCGAAAATTTTTCCGTCTTTCTTATCAGTAAAAAAAATTTGCGATAAGAAAATGGCCGAATGTGTGACGTCACAATCCGTTAAAAAAAAATTTATCACGGCCGAAATTTTCGCGTGACGACGATGACGATGACGATGACGTCGCGATCGCGTAAAAAAAATTTTTTTTTTAATATATCGCGACCCCTGCCTACCCCTACCTACCCCATTCTCACGTTCTCATAGATGACCTTTAACCGAACCCCCTCTCCCCCCTTCTGAACCTTGACCTTTTCTCTCATTCGAAAATTTATTTAAAATTTTCTAAAGCGTACTTTCATCATTCTCACCGATCGTAGATTTAATTGATAACGATAATAATAATGATTTTTTTTTCTTGGCTGGAGGGAAGGAGGAAAGGGAAGTCAGTAAGGGGTCAAGGAAGGGTGGAGGAAAATTTTTAAAATTAGGGGGGGGAGAGGATTATTATAACGAATTCGAATCGAACGTTATAATAAAAGGTTTTCAATTTTTTCTTTTTTCGTTTTCCATATCCGGCGGCGACGACGACCATGATGATAATAATGATGATAGTGATAATAATTGCGTTTGAATTTGCCATTTAAAAATTAATTTTTTTTTTAATGTAATCTCTCTGTCTCTTTTTCTCTCTCTTTCTTTCTTCGAAGTTTTGATTTCTCTCAATGTTTTTCCCCTTTCTTCCCCTTCTCCCCCTGTCTCTCTCTCTCTTTTGTTTGTTGTTGTTGTTGTGGAGTTTGCCCGTATCAACAATCGTTTGTTACGCACACAACAATCATAATCTCTCGTTTTTATTTATTATCATCATCATCCGTCGTAGGATTTTTAATTTTTAATTTTTTTTGTAAAGGAGACCACCTATGACGCCATATTGAATTGAAAATTGAGAAATTTCTCGAAAGATTTGATTTTGTTTGGTTAATTAATTGTTTGAATAAATTTTTCGAGCCTAAATTGAAAATAATTTTTTTTTTTTCTATTAAATCCCGGCTTTGTTTAATTGCTCTCAAATCCCCATTCGATTAATGATAATAATGATAATGATAATGATAATAATAAGGAGAATTTTTTCTTTTTTATATAGTCATTTAAATGTGTCGTCGTCATTTATCCGTTTGTAACTTTTCAAATTTTTACTTATTTGGAGAGGTGGGAGGGTAAATATGGGAACTCATATTTAACCCCGCACTTTTTCACCCCCCCTTCCTTCCTTCAACCCTTCCTACACAAATCGAAAGGATTCGTCAGCTGTCATTAAAAAAAAAAAAATTCAACCGTTCGTTCGCGTTTGGTTTACGTTCGTTGGTTTCCATTTTTAAAAAATTTGTTCTAGAATTTTCTTTCTTTTTTTGTTTTCTGCTATAAGAATTAAGAATTCATTTGGAGCGTGACGTAAATGTGACACTCCAAAAACAAAGAAAAATTTTTCTTTTTTTTTACTTTCTTTTTTTCTTTAAAAAAAAAAAATTTTCATTGATTTATTCGCGTTTTTCTTTCACAAAAATATTATCATTATCATTATCATTATCATCATCATTATCATCATTATCATTATCATTCGTACACACTTTCAAGGTGTGAAAACGTTCGTCATAAAATAATTTTTCCCATTTCCAGCAAAGCGTTCGAAATGGAGCTCCCTTATTTGATAAGAGAAAAAGAGATTGTTTGTTTGTATTGGTGTGCGGTTGTTGTTGTTGTTGACGGTGGTGATGATGGTCGCGTTCGTTCATTAGCGGTTTTAACTACTTAACACGACAAAACTCGTTAATAATAATAATAATAATAATTAAAATGACGATGAAAACTCTCGCGCGTTTTCGTTTGTACTACTTAAAACGCGCGCGTGCGTTTTTAGAACTACAAACGCACTTACAAACGTTCGATCCTCCCACCATTTTGTTTTTTTTTCAACAGATAAATTTAATTATTATTATTATCATTAAAAGAAAGTAGTAAGTAAGTTAATTATTAGATCGATTATTTTTTTGCAAATCGTTCAATCGTAAAATTCGTCGCCCCACTGTATGTACACAAAAAAAATTTACCACCGCAAAAAAAAAAAAAAAAACATTAACTAGCGCAAAACGTTTATCTATCCGAAAAGAGAGAGAGAGAGAGAGAGAAACGAACGTGTTATAATCTAAACGAACGTTGTAATTTTTGTAACATATGCGTTTTAAGTAATGTACGAGCGAGCCATCATCATCTTCGTCGTCTGGGTTGTTTAAAGCACCACAACAACCAAAAACAACAACAACAACAACATTTAAGTAGGTCATTCAATTATAATCAGTTCCGGTGTGTGTTTGTTGTTTGTATGTTCAAGTTCAAGTTTTTTTGTTCAATCGGTTACTTTCTTTTTTTTTTTCTGCCCTTGACCGCCGTCGTCGCCGCCGCCGCCGCTGGTGCTTTCATTTTTATGAGTCTACCACATACGTGTCCATCTCTCTCTCTCTCTCTAACTTATATCCTTATCCGAACTTTGTCGTTTTTATTTTAGTAAAATAATAATAATAATAAATTTTAAGGGTTAATAGAAAAGTTTTTAAAAACGAAGGATTATCTCGCCACATCCTCGAACGGATTTACACATCATTAAAAAAAAAAAGGTTCGGTGCGTTCGATGAGAGAGAGAGGGGGGGGGGAAAAATTTGAAAGAATTGTTGTAACGAACAAACGTTCCGAACGGCAAACGTTTGTTAAAAAAAAAAAAAAACGAGTTTATTATTTGTAAAAAAAATGGCGTCGTTCGTTCTCTTGTAAAGTGGGAATAAGGGCAAAGTTGTTAAATAAAGAAAGTATAACTACTATTAAGCCTAATTGAAAGTGAGATCGTTCGTCTTTCATTAACAGGTTATGCTCAATAATACCTGTTCTTGAAAATGTCGGTCATGTTCGTCCAAGTACAAAGAAACAAACAAACGAACAAACAAACCAAAAAAATTCATCATTATTACCGTTTTTCCACTCCCCACGTTTAGACCCCCTACCCATCGTTTTTTATTTCGGAAAACTTTTTTATTTTTTTTGCATGATTATTATTATTATCATTATGGTGAATGTAGTATCAGTTCTGATAGTTATCTGTCTACTAACAATAATTTTATAAACAAACAAATATGTTCAAATTAACGATGAAACTAAAATTTTTTTTTTTACTTACTTTGTTCCAGCTGGAATAATAAACGTTTCCGTCGTCAGCATGACAGAAGATCAACAAAACAAACACGTTGTTGTTGTTGTTGTTCCTGCACTACTACATTCACAAAAGAAGAAGATATTACACGGTTGTGCGAAAAAAAAATTTTTTAAATTAAAAATTTTGCCACAATGACATTTTTAACCGATTCTGGAGGAACGTGAGAGAGAGAGAGGTTTCCGGTTTTTTTTTTTTTTTTTACGGACGAAGGTTTTACGTGAGTGCGTGTAAAAAAAGTAGTAATTTTTTTTTCTGATTACGATTGTTTCCTTCCTCTCCCCCCGCCGCTGCTGCCGCTTCCCACACCCATTTTGTTGTAGTGGTTGCTAAAGCAAACAACTTGTGGGTACTATAAAAACTTTTATATATATATACGGATTTTTATATGTTTTATATTATCGCTGGATAACTCGTGGCAAGGAGTATCGATACCCCGGACCCCCAAAACGACACCCGTAAAAAAAAAAGAACAAACAAATAATAATAATAATATAATCATCGGAACATCTAAATTACCAAGTTTTTCTCTTCTGAAACCGGATGCGGCATTGTTAAAATCATCGATTACGGTGAATCAATTAAACAACGAAAGAATAAAAAATCAAGAAAGGAAAGAAGAAGAAGAAATTGAAGAAGAAGAAAGAAGACGAGAGGTTATTGTTAAAAATCCGATTTCGGAAGAGAATATCGAAGAAGAAGAAGAAGAAGGAGGGAAAAAAAACGTGGAAGTCATATTGAAAAAAGAATCACCTTCGTCCACGATGAAGTTTGGTGGAGAAGCTGAAATTCTGGGAGTACCAGTTGACACGCTTTTTTTAAATAATAATTGGGGGTCCGGCGGTTCCTGTGATTTTCTCATAGACGGTACAACGAAACTTATGTTAGAAAATAATGAAGAAGACATGGCGAAAGTCACGATGGACACGTTGGACAGTTTACTACTAACAAATAATAACGAGTCAAACGGGAATCTCGCCGAATTGAAACCGCTACCACCATTTACTGGTTACACTGGTCACTTGAGCATTAACGGAATCCCTGGTCATCATTATCACGCTATAGCCAATCAACCTCCTTCGAGTCCTTCGCCTTCGTTGGAAGCAAACAATAATCTAACGACCGTGGCAAATCAGAACACTTGTAACAATTCGGTCATGTACAAGAACAACGGAGCGACCCTATACTACGAAGTGAGCACGACAGCTTCCTCATCCGATCAAGGTGTCGTGTCATCGAGTGTCGATTGTGTTAACGATGTTAAGTCAGACGTAGATTATAATTCGCTTTTAGCAGATGACATAGCTGCTATAATAGGTTCCGCAATAGCGGATACGACCGTTCCGAACGTCGTAGATAGTTTAGACGATCCGAACGCGTCGAGAGACAGTTGGATGGATTTAGATGCTCTCATTGACGGTGCATGCATAAGTGAAAACGGACAAAAAAACAATGAAAATTCTCAGGACTTTGTTACACCGTTGAACTGTGAAAGTGCTAGTGTCACACTACAAAATTTATTACAACACGGAAGTCAATACGGCATACACACGGAAGTTGTTAAACAAGAGCCCGCCGTGACTTCAAACTACCAGGGAAACAACATGTCCCTTTTGCAAACGAGACTTCAAAACGGTCCTCCTCCTCCTCCCCCTCCTCCTCCCAATTGTAAAGTCCTTCAGGATTGCAACGTGCCCAGTTCTACGAGTTACATAAATGGAAAAGACATGATGCTACCGCACACGACGAGCGGAAGTCCTCCGGGACACGTGAGCACGACGGAAAACATACTCCTCAATGGTAGATACATACAAAATCGTAGAAATTATTCTACGGCTTACAGAAACGTTAAGGTACCCTCGCCGGACATGTTGGTCAACGGTAATTCACTGGACAACATAGTGTCCGGTAGTGGTATAAATAGTAATTTCCCACACACGACCACTAGCAATTTACCAAATAAAAAATCGAGAAATAGAAATAATAAGAAAAACAATCAAATCGTTTTCGATGGAGTCGGAATATTAGGAAAGGAAAAACCCATACACCGATGTTCGATATGCAGCCGAGGTTTCCTTAACAAAAGCAACATAAAAGTTCATTTGAGAACTCACACGGGTGAGAAACCTTTTCGATGTGAAGTTTGCGGTAAAGCGTTCAGACAAAAGGCTCATCTAATAAAACACCAACAGATGCATAAAAGAGTTGGCAGAGACTGATTGATAATCTGACTCTTTTGTTTTGAATATCATTTTTTTTTTTACAAATAATAATAATAATGATAATGATAACGACGACGATGACGTCGTCGTCGTCTTCATCATCATCATTATGTATGATACCGCGTATGTGGCAACGATCGTCCTTATTGTATGTACTGTGTTTGTTTTACGATCTCGACCTTTCTTTTTTTTTATTTTCTCACCTGCTGCCACGTTTATTTTCTCTGTCTCTCTCTATCTCTCTCTTTTTCTCTTTCACATCCAATTAAAATTAAGATTGGATGCTGCATGAACATATTGAAAATTTCGTTAATACTCCAGCGGACGCTCGTGCGTTATGGTATTTTAAAATGAACTTGAAACATTATTAAAATCATACAAGCACGTGGAACATTTTAAAATAAATTAAATTTAAAAAAATTAATAATTAAAAAGAGGTTGGTTGATCAAGTTGCCAAAGGACGCGCGCGTGTACGCGTGCACGTGTGCGTGTGTGCGTGCGCGAGTGTGCGTAAATTTTATTTATTTATTTATTTATTTGTACTACTACTGTTATTATTATTATTTAATTATTTGTAATGATTCGTACGACGGAAGACGCACGCACACACACACGCATAATAATAATAATAATAATAATAATAATAATAATAATAATAATAATAATAATAATAATAATAATAGCATCCACGTGGTTTTCCACGTAAAAAAAAAATTTAACAAATAGGTTATGCCCCTGATTTTTACAAAAATAAAAATCGAACAAAAAAACGCGCGTGAATACCGTCAAAATGGAGTAAATAAAAAAAAATGGCGGAAATAAATTTTTTTTTGTTGTTTGTTGTTGTTGTAGAAAAAAAACCGGAAACAACATTTTTTTAATAATATAAAAAAATTCTCTCGTACGTGTTCGTGAGTGAGAATTGATGACGTATTTCCTCTCAGCACGGTTTCCGTAGATTTTTTTTTTTATTTCGGGGCGGGGGGTTGTTCCCCCCTTGAAAAAAACTCCCCCGCGACTCTCCATTAATAATAATTAATTGTTGGCGGTAAAAAAAACAAAAAAATTTTTAACCGGAAACGAGATCGGTTTTGTCTTTTGTAAATTCGAATCCGTTAGGAAAAAAGAAACGTTCGAACGGACGTACGCACGTACGCGAAAAGACTTTTTACGCGCGTATTTCCTCTTTTCCCACGTGGGTTTATTTACTCTATGATTTTGCGTGCTAACGCATTTAAACGTTTTTTTCTTTTTTTTTTTTTTTTTTTTTTTCAAATTGTGATTAAATTATAGATTTTTTTTTTCGTTGTTGTTGTTGTTGTTTGTTTGTTTGTATTTATGTTACTGTTGTTGTGCATTTTTTCATTTATGTAAAAATTATGCGTGCGTGCGTGCGTGCGTTCGTCGAATGACCTTCGGGGTCATTCATTCTTATCAACTAAATAAAAAAATTCTTTTTATATAAATATTATACATATATACATAAAATTAAGAATTGATAAGTTTTACGAATAAATTTGTTTTTTTTGTATATTATTATTATTATTATTATTATTATTATTTTTAAAAAAATTAATTTTTAATAAGTTATTAGTAATAGTAATTTATGTAATTTAAGTTTTTAAAAGTGTAAATGATAATGATAATAAATAAATAAATAGAAATAAAAAAAAAAATTTATGTTTTTTTTTGATTTTGTTTTTTTTTTTTTTCATTGAAAATAATAATAATGATGATAATTGTAGATGTGTTAAATGAAAGGATTGTTGTTTGTTCACGTGCGAGCAATCGTTTGTTTGTTGTAGTAAATCCGTTTGTATCTCAATGTCAAATGTGCAAAACAAAACCAAATCGAAAAAGGAGAGAAGAAAGGATGCGAAATGGTGGAGTAGGAGGAGAAGGAGAAGTGGAAAGGGTGAGGAGGTGAAAATACGTTAATATTATTATTATTATTATTTAAAAATTTTTTTTTTTTTCCCCGATGGAAGGATTTGTTTATTATATACGGGTTTCACCATACGTGGTAAAGCACGAAAATGTTTTGGGTCGTTGAACCGAATAAAAATTTTTGCCCCCGATTTAAAAAAAAAAAAAAAAAAAAAAACTCGGAGAAAAAGTTCGACATTGTTATTATTATTACCATCATCATTATCATCGTCATGTTTTTTTTTTTTTGTGAATTGCGTGTGATAAGATAAAAATACGATATTTGATCGGTAACGTTTTTAAAAAAGTAGGAAACTAAAAAAAAAAAAAAAAAAAAAAACAATCCTGGGAAAATAATTTTTTTTTTATCTCTATGGAAAATTTTTTCTACAGGTACGAAAATTCCCTGAAAAAATTTTTTTAACTCTATTGAAATTTTTCTATAGGTACGAAAACTTCAAAATTTTTTAACACTATGGAAAATTTTTTTCCTGGGTATACGAAAACCCCCAAAAATGTTTTTATTTACCCCTTTAGAAAATTTCTCTACAGGTACGAAAACTCCCATAATTTTTTTATCTATATAGAAAATTTTTTCTAAAAGTGCGAACATCCCCCAAAAAAATTATTGAAAATTTTTCTACAGGTACGAAAATTTTTTCTAAAGGTATAAATACTCTAAAAATTTTTTAACTCTATGGAAATTTTTCTACAGGTACGAAAACTCCCGAATGAATTTTTTCGGCAGGTATAAAAACTTCTGAAAACATTTTTTTTTATTTCTATGGAAACTTTTTTTACGGGTATACGAAAACCCCCCTAAAATTAATTTTTTTTTATCTTTATAGAAAATTTTTTCTGCAGGTATGAAAACTCCCGAATGAATTTTTCCGGCAGGTACGAAAACTCCTAAAAAAAATTTTTTTAACTCTATGGAATATTAAGTAGAATACTTTTTTAGGAATACTAAAACCCCCCTGAAATAATTTTTTTTTCATCTCTATGTTTTCTGTAGGTACGAAACTCCCGAAGAAAATTTTTTTTTATCTCTATGGAAATTTTATTCTTCGGGTATAAGAAAACCCCCCAAAAATAATTTTTTTAACATTATCAAAAATTTTTTCTAAAGGTATAAATACTCTAAAAATTTTTTAACTCTATAGAAATTTTTCTATAGGTACGAAAACTTCCGAGTGAATTTTTTCTGCAGGTACCAAAACTCCCAAAAAAAATTTTTTTTAGCTCTATGGAAACTATTTTTTGCAGTTACGAAAACCCAAAATTTTTTACGTCTACGGAAAATTTTTTCTCCGGGTATACGAAAACCCCCAAAAAAAATTTTCTTTTAACTCTATAAAAAATTTTTTCTTCAGGTACAAAACTCCGGAAAGAATTTTTTTTTCTGCAAATACGAAAACCTCCCCAAAAAATTTTTTTTTTTTACCTCCATGAAAATTTTTTTCAACAGGTACTAAAACTCCCGAAAAATTTTTTCATTATCTCTATGGAAAATTTTTCTCCAGGGGTACAACAACTCAACAAGAAAAAAATTTAATTAAAATTTATGTGAAATCGTTATGTTTAATAATAATAATAATAATAATAATAATAATAATAATAATAATAATATTTATCTAATGCCACGACATTAAAAATTTTAAAAAAAAGTTTATCATTATTATTATTATTATTATTATTATTATTATTATTATTATTATTATTATTAATAACGAGTTGTATAGTAGTCGTTGTAAAAAAAAAAAAAATTTTATTTTTATAAAAAGAAAAGTGGGTTAAGAATAGCAGACGACGTGAAAGTATTTTTTTTCTTTTATGTTTACGTGAGATTTTTTTTTTTATTTAAGAATTTTGTTGTTAAGGAGGAAAAAAAAGAAGAAAAAAAAAAGATTTTTCAAAAAAATTTTCCTGGTACTACCCGAGTAGTATATAATTCACACGGATCATGTTCGATATTAATAATGATAATGATAATAATAATAATGACGATGGTTTTTCTGGCACGTTGATCAAAAAAGTTATTTAAAAATTTTCTAAAACGTTTTTTTTTTTTGGCTTAATGATTAAGTGGGCTGCATCGCTACTTTCTCTTTCTCGTAAAAATACGACGACGACGACTTAAAGTCGGCGGTGGGTTCGTAAATAAAAAAATAGCAGAGTCGGGGAGGGGGGACAGGAGGAGAAGGAGCAGAAGGAATCGAGACAGTTTTTTTTGGTTTTCAGGTTCGAAAAAAAAATTTAAGGGAGTCATCAATAACGAGACGAAAGGTTTTTGAACTTTGTGTAAAAAAAACCGCCAATAAAAAAAAAATACAAAAAACTTCTGCCACGTTTCGTGGAAGGGAGGGGGATGGAAGGGGGTAGGGGGTAAATATTTCAACACCCTTTTGAGGGAATTTTTTTTTTTTTTCAGGTTCAACGTCTTTTAAGTTCGTCGTACTCTCTCATCTCTTATAAAAAACCGCCAGAAAAAAAAAGTTTTTGAGGTTGTTCTCTGTCTGTCTGTTTGTTTGTTTGTTTGTTAGTTTGCTCTTGTCGGTTTTTTTTTTCTTTTTATTTTATATCTGCCGCAAAATTCTTTTTAAAAAATTTTTTTTTCTAATTCTTTTATCTTCCCTTTTTTTTTTTTTTTATTATTTTATTATTGCAACGTCTGATGATGACCTTCTACCATAACCTTTTCTTCATCCTTTTTAACAATTTTTCTGCACATGATAAGAAATTTTTTTTTTTTTTTATTTAAAAACACGACGATTGAATATTCACCCTTTTTATAATAATAATAATAATAATAATAATAATAAAAACGTTTCGTGTAAAAAAAAATGGGAATGAAAGTTTGAGTAGGAAAAAGGTTTTTTTTTTTTTTTTAATAACAAACAAACAAACGAACGAAAAAAATTTATCGCTTTTTCGATTGACCGTTTGAACAAAAATTCAATAAAAAAAAATGAAAAAAAGTTTTTTTTTTTTTTAACTAAAACCACGATGAAAAATTACCCGATAGATTGATAGATCGTAAATAATATTTGAATCGTTTGTTTGTTAGTGC